CGTGAGGCTGTGGGCCACTTCCCAGCCTCCACCCAACCCTCGTGGGCCACGGCTACACGCATCGTGGTCCCAGCGGCCCCTGCAGGCATCCCTGGGGGCAACTGGAAGGGTGGGGCAGGACAGACTGCTGTGGCTCCCAGACACACCATCCCTGCCCCAGACCCTCGCCCGCTGTCCAGACGCCAGGCGCACAGGGGCTGGGCAGTGGACAAGCCCCCAGACCAGTGTCCCTTGGGCAGAGCCCATGAAGCTGACATTGCAGATGCTCAAGGCCCTTACACGGTGTGGTCCGGCTTTGCACCCAGCCCACACACTCTCTGGGACTGCCACGCCGTGGGACTGCCACACGGGTCAGTGGTGGTGGTGCAAACCGCACTGCTATTCATCATTATACTGCTCTTTTCGGATGCGGTGGAGAAGGAGGCAGAAGAGGAGGAGGGGGTGGGGGACACCGGGCCTCCCTGCAGGACTGGAGGAGCCAGTGACAGGACACGCCCAGAGCCCTGCTCCAAGGAGACAAGCCCCACTCAGCCCTCTGGCCTTCTGGAAAACCCTGGAGACAGAGCTAAATCCCTGTGGGAGCAAGCACCACTTCCCAGGAGGAAGAGGTGATGGCAGGGGCAGGAGCAGCTGCTCTGGGCCGTGCACACCTGAGCAGCACATCCCCCCGGAGGGCGGGACCACAGTGTAGCAGGCCATGCACGGGGCTTCTTCTCAGACCCTCCATGTCGTAAGGAAGTCAGAAATCTTCCATGCTAGGGACACCCCTCCCCACCCGGCCCACCTGGACTCGCTGTTCCCCAGCAGACACAGCAATTGGGAGTGCCCAGAGAGCAGCAGGGCTGCACCCTGGTGGGAACCCTCCCCAAGACCCTGCGAGCCTGCACACCTCCACCTCTGACCAAGCCTGGAGGTCCCCAGCCCACGGCGGCCCGGGCAGAGCACTCCTCTGCGCCCGCTCCCTGTCAGCAAGGGCTGTGAACGTGCCTGTCTCGACGCCTCGTCCCCGCATGCACCCCAGCCCTGCCCTGGAGACCTGGGCCCAGCTGAGCTCAGGAGAGAAAGGTGCAGGAAGCCCAAATGCACGCCCACCCTTGCCGGGCCCGACATGCTGTGTGGACGAGGGCGTGTGCCCAGAGCCACAGCCCTGCTGGGCGCAGGCGTGCGCTCTGTTGGCGTTTGCCAAGTGAGCACGTGAGTCTCCAATGCCTCCCACCCACGTGACCCCTGCCAAGGAATGACCAGCTCTGGGAGCTTCTGCTCGGAATTCCTTCCCGCCCGCCCCCGCCCCCGCCCTTGCCTTGCACAAACAGAAAACAGTCCCGTCTGGACAGGGCTGTCCGGGACGCACCCAAGAGCCCCTAGCCACGCGGAGCAGCACACTGAGCCGTGCAGGTGGGACACAGAGGTGGGGCGGGGCAGGAGGGGACCAGATGGGTGGCCTGCGGCAGACCCCGTGCCCATCTCAGTCCCGCCACGGACCACAACCTCAGCTAGAGCAGAAAGCAGAGCGCACGGACCGGCCATGGGCCCCGCCAACTGTGCACCTCCCTGCGGGTGGCCAAGGACCTCCTGGGGCTCCAGCGAAGCATCTGGAGACAGGCAGCCTTGGATGCCCGGGGGGCCAGTGCCACCAATGTCCCTTAGAGGGAGGCAGGAGGGCCAGACCAGCGGGGCGGCGGAAGGCAGAGGTCAAACGGGGAGAGAGAAAGAGATGGGGACGGAGAGGCCGTGGGGAGGGAGGCAGAGAGATGGGGAGAGAAGAGCCTGGTTGACTGACGGCCAACTGCTAGCATGGCGTGGCACGGCGTGTGAGCGCCGGCACGACCACGCACATACGACATGCCAGCAGATGTCCCGGAGCGGGCTCACCGAGGCCAACACCGGTCTCCTCCACGGAGGGGCGTCAAGCAATGCTCCGCTACACACGTGTGCATGCAGACGTGTGTGTGAACAGTGCACTGGGCACCATCCTGCAGAAGTACCCCAGGTCCCACTCGAAGATGACCACAGAAAGCACAACCTCTCCACTCACGACGGACCCTGAGGGCCAGGGGCCACGTGCCACAGCCCCCACGAGGGCACATGCCTGAGCCCCAGCCCGCCTCAGGCCCCCGGATCCCGGCTGAATAGCCCACGGAAGCAGCCTGGAGAGTGACGGAGCCGAACAGCCACGGCCGCCACGCCCACTTCTGGGCCAACGTGTGTGCTGCGGCATTGCGTGTGGCGGACTCGCACATGGCGGGGGCCATCCGGCCACGCCGGCGCCGCTGTGCACAGTGGTGATCCTGCTGCCACCCGGGGAGATGGGGGAGAGGCAGGCGGTGCTCCTGGCCATGAGGGGCAGAGCCTGGGCCTCTGCTCGATGCCCCACACACATGCCCGCCCCAGACCAGTGCCCACAGGTGCAGGCGCTGTTGCTGAGCTGAACGCCAGAGCCAGAGCCAGCTCAGCGGGGTAGGCGAACTCCAGGGGGCTGAGACGGGTCCCACCTGAGCGTGTCTGAGGCTTCCTGCTAACACAGGGACCTCCACGTGGCCCGGGACGCAGCCCTGCAGCCCCCACACATGTATTCAGCGTCCCGGAGACGGCAGATGTTTGCTGACTTTGCTGATGACGGACCCGAACCTGAACTGGGTGGGGAGGAATCCCACGGCGCCCACGGGGGCAAGCATGAGATGAGCCTGCTGCCTCCAGCCCCACCCCAGGCCACACGGCACAGCCACGGACCACCCTATCTACACGGCACAGGCTGCAGGGCCCGGGCCATCAGCCCCACCCTGCCTATCCTGTGGCCTGCAGGTCCAGAGTGACCAAGCGGGGAAGTGGTCCAGGCAGATGGACATGGCCCACGGCCCAGGGAGCAGAAAGCGCCTGCCCAGACTGGGGCAGGCACCTGGGCTCCTCTCTGAGGAGTGGATGAACCTGCAGCTGTCCCTCGAGACCCCAGGGCCTACGCCCCACTGTGCTGGGAGCAGCAGGAGCCTCAGCCCGTGGCCACACTGCCAGACTGGGAGAGCCACGGCACCCCTCGTCCTGAGGCCTGGACCGCGGCCGGTTCCCAGCCTCCCCGCCCTGCCCACGGCAAGCCCCTCGCCTCTGTGGCAAACGCAGACAGATCGTTACAGCTCAGAGAAGCGGGCCTCCGCCCGTCCTCAGAAACACACTGGCAACCTTCAAAGAAAACCCCAAAGCCCCAGAGGACACTTAGCTAAGACAAGCTGCAATTACCGACTTCTCCGGCATGATAAAAATTCCTCCAACCTCCCTTCCAGATGAGATTCTTCATTCAAACGCTCTCCTTTTTAAAAATAACTCCATAACCGGCCATTAGTGCACGGGCTGCACCCTAGCCTTCCTTTCTGGCCTCACCTGGCCCTCCCTTACTTCGAAGACAAAAATGCCTTCTTGGACAAAACCACTGTCAACAGCACCGAGGCCGGAGAGCCTGTGACCCGGCTTCGCAGGCCCTCCCCGCCCTCCGGGTCCGAGTCCGGGACGCTGGGGACATGCCGGGCAGGCCCTCGAGGCCTCGGCTGTCTGCGGTGTTGTCTGGGGTGGATGGCACGGGCACAGGGCCCACGACTTGCGTGGTCTCACTCCACCAGCCTCGCCAAGCACTGCTGGCTCCAAGTACCCAGGGAGCCCCTGCGGCAACCCTCGGGCACCCACCCAGGCTCCCATGGCCCCCCTGGCCGCTATGCCCTGCATGTGCACAGAGCACCTGTCCCCAGCCCACGGCGCCCACACACCTGCTTCCTGCCGGTCGTCTCCTGGAAGCACTGCGGGGGCAGGAAGGGCTGGCCATCGTGGGGCTCAGCCACTCCCAGGCCCTCCCTGGGCACAAGTCACACTAGGCAGAGACCATCCCCACAGCCACCCAGTTAGTCTGGGTTCCCAGAGTGACTCTCACACACGTGTTACACACTGATAGCACACGCATCCCACACACACCCTGCACACACACACACACACACACTCACCCTGCACACACACACACACTCACCCCCCACACACACTCACCCACCACACACTCACCCTGCACCACACCCCCCACACACTCACCCTGCACACACACACACTCATCCCCCCCCCACACTCATCCCACACACACACTCATCCCACACACACACTCACCCTGCACACACACACACTCACCCTGCACACACACACACTCATCCCCCCCCACACTCATCCCACACACACACTCACCCCCCCACACTCACCCTGCACACACGCACACGCACACACACACTCTAGGCCAGAGCCTTTGTCCCCATGAGCACCCTGTGGAGGCCTGTGGTTTCTCCTCTTCTGCCACTTGTCACTTGCCTGTCCCCATGTGACCCAAAGGCCACAATAGGGAAGGCAGGAGGTCCCTTCAGAGTGGATCCAAGCCCCCAGGGGCCTGGAACAGAGTCCGTGTCACCCACGCTGGGAGCCACAGGCACCCGGGAGCCCAATGTGTGAGTGTGGGGAGGACTCGCATGACTGCGGGGCAGTGGGGCTGAGGACACGGCATGGTGGCCGATGCCCAGGCAGGGCCGTGCAGGTGAGTGCAAAGGGGAGAGGGTGCCGCTGTGCCGCTCAGGGCTGCCGGCAGGGATAGAGCGCTCTTGCTCAGCCCCCAAGGCTGGAAACGCCGGCTCCAACAGCCAGCCCCTCTTGTCGATGTCTGGTGTCCAGTGGCCGGGCCCTGGTCAGTTGCCACCTCCCCAGGGACAGCACGTGCCCCACAGGGACAGTGTGGTCACTGCACACGCCCCTGAGAAAGCCAGCACTGGGCATGGCGCTTCTGCCCGCCTCAACCCCCAGTGACCTGAGTGAGCCTGGTGCCCCATCCGCGGCCCCTGTGGGTTCGGAAAAGGCACGAGAAGAACTCGGGAAGACGACGACACAGCGGCAGCACTGATGCCACCCCGGCTCTGTCACTGCCATGCCAGTCCCCACGTGCCGTGGCGGAGACAGCGTCCCAGGCCAAAGGCCCTGCCCACACTCACCAGTCTGTGGCTGAGGTGCACGCTGACGAGTGGGGAGCCCCCTAAGTCCTGGGACAGCGTGGGTGGCGGGGAGACCTCCAGGGAGATCAGCGGGCTGGCGGTGGACAGCGGGCAGTCTCTGTGACCCATGGCCTTGGCGACCCTTGTGGACAGAAGGGAGATGTCAGGAGATGGCAGGCGGGAGAGGGCGGGGGGCGGCTGTGCCCGGGTCGGGCTGTTGGAGCCTCCGTCTGGGGCCAGAATCACTCATGACAGGGCCTGCGGGCACCCACGGCTCTCGCTGAGACACCAAGCCGGGGTAGAGGGCAAAATGGTCCTCGACCTTGAAGAGTGACCTGAGGTGCAGTGGCCCGGGGGCAGCAAGAGCTGGCAGCTGGAACGGGTGGGGCTGCTCTTGGCCATGCACCGAGGCAGCCGCAGGCCTGGACGTCCACCCGCTGCCTGGAGGCGGCATGGTGGGTGACAGCGTGGTGGCACTGTGGCCCTGATGCCAGTCCCCTGCACTCTCCTGTGACATACCGCCTCGGTTCCCCTCCGGTGACCGCCCTGCCCACTGCAGCCCTCATGTGGAGCACGCCGCCCTGGTGTCCAGGTCTGGGGAGAACGGAAAGCAGCATCCTGTGGGCGTGTACACTCGCCCTCCCTCATCCAGGCCCTCCAGGGCCACCGGGAGTCGGCACTGTGCGTCCCACGGCCGGGCCCTTACTCGGGAGCAGCGTGGGCGTCGGAGGGAGCACGCGGGCTGGGACTTTGCTCTCTGGACGTCGGCCCCGGAGAGCGAGGCCCGGGAGGGACCGACGGAGGGGCCTGGCGTTGCTAGGTGCCGGGTGCAGCTGCCTGACGCCGTGAGTCTCGGCTTTCAGGACCCGGTAAACTGCCTTTGGCTTACAACGGTCCAGGCTGGGTCTTCTGCCACTTAGCCACAGCATCACAAAGGGCCTGACACATTCACCTTGTCTTACGGAGCCCACGGCTAGAACGAGCTCAGGCCAGGGCCTGGCGAGGTAAGCCGCGCACCCCAGGGCCAGAGGTAGGGCGGCGCTCACGGTCAAGGTCCGCAGAGAGGCGGCCGCCCGAGAGGGGCCCACGCCCCGCCTGTGAGGGCCCTGGCCCCGACCACCCTGCCCGGCCGGCCGGCCACGGCAGCGACACGCCTGCTGCATGAACATGAACTTAGGCGCTCCACTGAACCCTGAGCCAGGCCACCACGGCCCCGCATGGCCACCCTGCCACCGCTTGTGCCCTGCCTCTTCAGACCCCGTGTTCCTGCGTCAGCCCTAGGAACGCAGCCTGAGGCCCCAGCAGGGTACAGCGCGCTGCCCTCCACAGGGGCTTCCCTAACAACCGGCTGGGAGACTGCGTGTCCTGAAAAAGAGCAGGCATTCGGGAAGCACCCCGGACTGCTCCTGAACTGGACGTGTGACGTGTGACATGTCACATGCTCGCCCACGCAGCGTAGAGTTAACGCCCCGGCTCCTGAGCACGTCCCCATAGGCATCGGCAGGACGCGGTGTCTGCGGCCAAGCAGGGCATCCGCGTCTCGCCCCTGAGAGTGGCAGGCACCGGACCACTCTGCCTGACTGTCCTGTGAAATGCCACAGTCCTGCCAGGAGTGCAGGTGACAGGAGCAGAGTCGGGCCACACACTAAGAGGCACGCCGAAAGCAGGGGACAGTTCCAGCTGGGCTTCTGCCACTTCTGAGCTGGCCAGAGCGGCTGAGGCCCTGCTGCCCTGGTCTCGGGGACCGTGGGCTGGGAGCCTCAGGGCCAGGCCTGGGGAGGAGAGCTGGACGGGGCCAGTGGGGAGGGCTGTTCACCCCCAAGGTCTCAGGCCGCAGCAGGATGGCAGGGCGGGGGGCCTGGGGAGGGGGCGAGGTGGCCACCCCCCAGGGCGTTTTCTCACTTTCTGTCTCCCTCAGGGAACGCACACGCCCTCTGGCAAATTAGAAACACGGTTCATGTGCTTGGCTGAAAAGCGAGTTTCATATCTGAACGCTCGGAGGCCGAGGAAGGGTCGGGTTTTCATTTCGACCTTGGGTTCTGAGAAGCTTTCCCTAGCAGTCGGGAGGGCACCTTCTGGAGAAAAGGCCATTTTTTCCCTCGTCCCTTTTATTTATTTATTTATTTATTTATTTATTTAGGAGAGGT